CCCGTTCCTTCCCTCTTCTCTCGTCCCTCCTCCTCCTCCCTACTTCCGTCTTCCCACCTCTCTCCGTCTTCCCTCCTCCCTCTCTCGTCTCATTTCTCCTTCGAAGAATCCCCAATACCTTTCGAGGCGATCTTGGAATTCCCCCCCCCCCCCAAACGCGTGTGGCCCTCAGAAGCATATATAAGCCCGAGCATGACCCCAAGAGCTTCAATGTTGGCCGACAGGACCTCGCGCTGGCGCTAGAGGGCGTTAAAGGAAGCCTTCCGACTGCACTACCTCTACGGTCGATGCTCTAGGCCACTGCACCCCGCTAGAGCCCGAGCGCCGCGTGCGAAGCGTGCGCGATGGTTCTGGTATGTGTACGCGTGCAAATATGCACGCTCATTTTTACACCACATATTTATCCATGTGTATGTATATATATGTGTATGTATATATATATGTATAGGTTCCTGGGCCCAGGTGCTTCGGACATCGGGGCGCGTCTTGAAGCACTCCTAGAGCAATCTCGGGGCCATCGTCGAACCACGCTGTGTCCCCCTGCGGGATCCCCTCCCCGCACCCTTCCCCGCCCTCGCCACCAGTTCTCCCCCTCGCCTGTCAATCCTCCCTGGTGAGAAGGGAGGAGAATTATGATGAGGACAGGGCGATGGCAGAACGAGCAGGATGAGGAGAAATCTGAGGAAGAAGGAGGGCGACACAAGATGAGGGAAGAGTGCAGGAGAAGGAAACAGGAGGGAAAGGAGAAGAAGCCTGGAACCCCTTCCGATAGGGGGCTCGTCGTCATCGCTCATGTTGAATAATCTCCAGTGCTTCCAAGTGCATCATCTTATATCATAGCTGTTTCAGCTACTCGGAACCATTACTAGTTTGGCACTGCTTTGTGCTACTGGCCATTCCTCCCACCTTTTCCTCATGATCGTCTCTCACACGGGGGACCCGCTGGCATGCCGGAGGTAGATAAGTTAGTAGTGCAGGCAACTTGTGCGGACACTTCGGAGGAAGCAATAGGGACCAATGGCGGCGGCTGCGAATGGTGGACGGATTATGCTCAGTATTGTGTATATGACTACTTGTACGACGACAGCGACTTCACAGCCGGAGACATGTGCTGCGCATGCGGGGGTGGCGAGGGTGGCAATTCAACGGCTCGGAGCGCTCCTTTGTATTGTCCTCACATGCGCTCGTCTGCCTCTTGGGGTCCTTTGGAGGCTCCTTGTGGGAGGCGCCATGCGCATGATGCGCGTGGCGCGTTTGGTGCGTTTCCTTCTCCACCCACCACCTCTCAGATTCCTACTTCACGCTGCTCTCATGGAAAGTACTGTCCAGCGTGGAGCGTGGATCACACTGATCGTGCTGGCAGATGTAAAGTGGGGTCCTCAGACTGTGATCGTGTCGGATTTGGACCCTTGGACCCGTGCTCACACTAGGTTGTGAGGCCGCCCTGGCATACACTAGAACCGAAAAGCGCGCGCGCGCGCTGTTCTGGCAAGTGTGCGTTTACTGTAAACGCGATATTACTATGCTTGTCCGTCACATGTACACGTACTCATATTTGTATGTACCACGCCCGCCTCATTCAACATCTTATGTATCAATTCGGCCCGCCTCCTCATGGCGCGCCAGTTGGCCTCCTCAGTGCTTGTCCCAATCGAGGCGCCGACGCCCACCAGCCCGACGCCCGCACCCACGCCATCTCCGAATCCGGCCTCGTCTCCCTATTTCCTTTTTCTGTCTCTCTTCTCCCTCCTATTTTCCCTGCTCCTCATGCCATCTCCCCTCCTTCCTACCTTCTTTATCTCCCTCGTTCTACCAAGACTCCCCAATACCTTTCGAGGCGATCTTGGAATGCCCCCCCCCCAAACGCGTGTGGCCTTCAGAAGCATAAGCCCGAGCATGACCCCAAGAGCTTCAATGTTGGCCGACAGGACCTCGCGCTGGCGCTAGAGGGCGTTAAAGGAAGCCTTCCGACTGCACTACCTCTACGGTCGATGCTCTAGGCCACTGCACCCCGCTAGAGCCCGAGCGCCGCGTGCGAAGCGTGCGCGATGGTTCTGGTATGTGTACGCGTGCAAATATGCACGCTCATTTTTACACCACATATTTATCCATGTGTATGTATATAAATATATGTGTGTATATGAATACATATATAGATACACATATATATATATATATGTGTATAGGTTCCTGGGCCCAGGTGCTTCGGACATCGGGGCGCGTCTTGAAGCACTCCTAGAGTAGTCTCGGGGCCATCGTCGAACCACGCTGTGTCCCCCTGCGGGATCCCCTCCCCGCACCCTTCCCCGCCCTCGCCACCAGTTCTCCCCCTCGCCTGTCAATCCTCCCTGGTGAGAAGGGAGGAGAATTATGATGAGGACAGGGCGATGGCAGAACGAGCAGGATGAGGAGAAATCTGAGGAAGAAGGAGGGCGACACAAGATGAGGGAAGAGTGCAGGAGAAGGAAACAGGAGGGAAAGGAGAAGAAGCCTGGAAGCACTTCCGATAGGGGGCTCGTCGTCATCGCTCATGTTGAATAACCTCCAGTGCTTCCAAGTGCATCATCTTATATCATAGCTGTTTCAGCTACTCGGAAACATTGCGGTGGGGGCGTTGGTTAATGAATGTGCCAGGGAGGCTTCAGACCCTGGAGGGTTCCTTATTTGATAAGGGCGGCGGTAATATCCATGGCCGAGCCTCAATTGGAGTTCCACCGCCCTCAAGACCCTGGATTCCCGATTAATGGGTTCCTTATTCAATGCCCCCACCGTATTAGTTTGGCACTGCTTTGTGCTACTACCCATTATCACCGTTGCCTCATGATCGTCTCCCATACGGGGCACCCGCTGGCATGCCGGAGGTAGATCAGTTAGTAGTGCAGGCAACTTGTGCGGACACTTCGGAGGAAGCAACAGGGACCAATGGCGGCGGCTGCGAATGGTGGACAGATTATGCTCAGTATTGCGCATATGACTACTTGTACGACGACAGCGACTTCACAGCCGGAGACATGTGCTGCGCATGCGGGGGTGGCGAGGGTGGCAATTCAACGGCTCGGAGCGCTCCTTTGTATTGTCCTCACATGCGCTCGTCTGCCTCTTGGGGTCCTTTGGAGGCTCCTTGTGGGAGGCGCCATGCGCATGATGCGCGTGGCGCGTTTGGTGCGTTTCCTTCTCCACCCACCACCTCTCAGATTCCTACTTCACGCTGCTCTCATGGAACATATCGTCCAGCGTGGAGCGTGGATCACACTGATCGTGCTGGCGGATGTAAAGTGGGGTCCTCAGACTGTGATCGTGTCGGATTTGGACCCTTGGACCTGTGCTCACACGAGGTTGTGAGGCCGCCTTGGCATACACTAGAATCGAAAAGCGCGCACGCTGTTCTGGCAAGTGTGCGTGTACTGTAAGCGCGATGTTATTCTGCTTGTCCGTCACATGTACACGTACGCATATTTGTATGTACCACGACCGCCTCATTCAACATTGTATGTATCAATTCGGCCCGCCTCCTCATGGCGCGCCAGTTGGCCTCCTCAGTGCTTGTCCCAATCGAGGCGCCGACGCCCACCAGCCCGACGCCCGCACCCACGTCATCTCCGAGTCCGGCCCTTTTTCTGTCTCTCTTCTCCCTCCTATTTTCCCTGCGCCAGGTGCCAGGGTGGATGGTGCATGGTAATGAAACGGCTGACGCCATCGCCCTCGGAGCAGCTGAGCGATGTAGGATCCCTCTTGCCATTAGGAGTAGAGTGGCCGAAGTCGAGGGGCGGGCTGCTTCAATCAGGCGGAGGCTTCTTCGGGCGACCCTCGAGGCCACGGTCGCCGAGCGTGAGGACGCGAAGGTAACCGCGCCTGGGTCTGGCGATCGTGTCCCGACGGCCCCTGCCCTGCCGCCTCCAGCCCCCTCCACGGTTGCTCGTTTTCGGACCGTGCATTCTCTCAGTGAATGCGGACTCAGATGCACCACGTGTCACAGTAGCGGCACCAAAGCCACCCTGCACGAATGGCTTGCCTCCCCGTGTGCGCCTTTAGAACAAGTAGACTCTATAATTTCTAAGGGGCCTAGTGGGAAGCTGCACTTAGCTGGGGAGTGGGCTCACGAATCATATCGTATGCTCTTTCACCATACACTCAAGGTCTGGATATGTGGGGCTTGCGGGTTTTTCTTCACGGCTAACCTACAAGCGGGGCTCAGGCAGGAGCGTCTAGGGTCTGAATCCCTCAACGACACGATGCGATCCTACCTGGATCGGTTCTACCGAGGGTCTGTCCCCAAGCCTTTAAGCGCTGCTGAACGGGCAGCGCGGCGGAAGCCTGGGGGGTAGTTTCTCTTTCATTGACACCGTCATATTGCTATTCCTATTCCTATGCCCGCCTCCCTATTCCCTGTTCCCCGTTCCTTCCCTCTTCTCTCGTCCCTCTTCTTTCTCCTCCCTACTTCCGTCTTCCCACCTCTCTCCGTCTTCCCTTTTCCCTCCCTCGTCTCATTTCTTCTTCGAAGAATCCCCAATACCTTTCGAGGCGATCTTGGAGTGCCCTCCCCCAAACGCGTGGGGCCCTCAGAAGCATAAGCCCGAGCATAGTGCATACTCAGACAAAGCCCGTGCGGCGGCGTGGCTGACAAGAAACAACCCCAGAATCCTACCACGTCGGAGGCGGGAGCGGGAAGGGGACGAGCGCGAGGAAGGAGACGGAGCTCCACAAGCTGCAAGGGAGACGCCTGAGGGTGAAAGCGGTTGGGTGCACACTCGCCAACTAAAACAAGACATTCGAACGAGGGCACACGGGCGCTCAAGCGCCCAGCACCGCGCATAACCATGACGGTGACGGCGTCAGGGCAAGCCTGGCGTGTGGCCAGAGGCCAGGGTCAACCAGCAGCGGGCACAGACAGGTCCACACGCAGTGCTCATGCACGCGGTGCGCTGTAAAGCAACCAATTAGGGGGAGAGGGGGGGGGAGGGGGGGAGAACCAAGGAGAGAGGAGGAGAAGAGGAAGAGGACGAGGAACGCTGACTGCATCACCCTGCGCTGACTGCAACGCCCCGTGGCGACCTAAACGGTCGCCGCCAGGCGGGCCGGGGCCGCGCACAGAACTCACATCGACACGTCGCACCCGCAGAGGTCCGCCACGTTCTTCCGCACCCGGCCGTGCTGCTCCACGCCGCGCTGCAAGTACCCGTGGCGCAGCGCCACGACGTGGTCTGGCACGATTCCGACACAGGTCCTCGGGCTGCCGTGGCGGCTGCGGCTGCGTCTGCAGGTGCCAGGTCTGCACGGCGCTGCTGGTGCTTGGTGCTGCCGCCTTCGGTGCTGGGGTCGGCTGCTGGCGACGGTGCTGGTGTTGGCGTCGGTGCTGGTGTTGGCGTCGGCGTTGGTGCTGGCGTTCATGCCGGCGTAGGCGCCGGCGTTGGTGCTGTCGTCGGTGCTTGCGTCGACGGTGGCGTAGGCTCTGGCGTTGGTGCCGGCATAGGCGCGGGCGTTGGCGCTGGCATCGATGCTGGCGTTGGTGCTGGTGTAGGCGCTGGCGCTTATGCCGGCGATGCTGGTGCCAGCACCGGTGCAGGTGATGGCGTTGGTGCCGGCGGAGGCGCACGCGTGGATGCCGGCGTAGGCTTTGGCGCTGGTGCCAGCGTAGGCGCGGGCGCTGGTGCCGGCGTCGATGCTGGCGCTGGTGCTGCAGTAGGCGCTGGCGTTCAGGCCCGCGGAGGCGCCGGCGTTGGTGCTGTCGCCGGTGCTGGCGTCGACGTTGGCGTAGGCTCTGGCGTTGGTGCCGGCGTAGGCGCAGGCGTTGGCGCTGGCGTCGATGCTGGCGCTGGTGCTGGTGGCGCTGGCGCTCATGCCGGCGATATTGGTGTCGGCACTGGTGTAGGTGATGGCGTTGGTGCCGGCGGAGGCGCACGCGTGGATGCCGGCGTAGGCACTGGCGCTGGTGCCGGCGTAGGCGCGGGCGCCGGTGCCGGCGTCGATGCTGGCGCTGGTGCTGATGTAGGCGCTGGCGTTCATGCCGGCGTAGGCGCCGGCGTTGGTGCAATCGTCGGTGCTGGCGCCGAAGGTGGCGTAGGCTCTGGCGTTGGTGCCGGCGTAGGCGCGGGCGCTGGTGCCGGCATCGATGCTGGCGCTGGTGCTGATGTAGGCGCTGGCGTCGATGCCGTCGTAGGCGTCGGCGTTGGTGATATCGTCGGTGCTGGCGTCGACGTTGGCGTAGGCGCTGGTGTTGGTGCCGGCGGAGTCGCGAGCGTTGGCGCTGGCGTCGATGCCGGCGCTGGTGCTGTGGCGTAGGCGCTGGCGCTCATGCCGGCGTAGGTGCTGGCGTTCGTGCTGTCGTCGGTGCCGGCGTTCATGCCGTCGTAGGCGTCGGCGTTGGTGATATCGTCGGTGCTGGCGTCGCCGTTGGCGTAGGCGCTGGCGTTGGTGCCGGCGGAGTCGCGAGCGTTGGCGCTGGCGTCGATGCCGGCGCTGGTGCTGTGGCGTAGGCGCTGGCGCTCATGCCGGCGTAGGCGCTGGCGTTCGTGCTGTCGTCGGTGCCGGAGCGTCGACGGTGGCGTAGTAGGCTCTGGCGCTGGTGCCGGCGTAGGCGCGGGCGTTGGCGCTGGCGTCGATGCTGGCCCTGGTGCTGGAGTAGGCGCGGGCGCTCATGCCGGCAGTACTGGTGTCGGCACTGGTGTAGGTGATGGCGTTGGTGCCGGCGGAGGCGCACGCGTGGATGCCGGCGTGGGCACTGGCGCTGGTGCCGGCGTAGGCGCGGGCGCTGGTGCCGGCGTCGATGCTGGCGCTGGTGCTGGTGTAGGCGCTGCCGTTCATGCCGGCGTAGGCGCCAGCGTTGGTGCTGTCGTCGGTGCTGGCGCCGACGGTGGCGTAGGCTCTGGCGTTGGTGCAGGCGTAGGCGCGGGCGTTGGCGCTGGCGTCGATGCTGGCGCTGGTGCTGGTGTAGGTGCTGGCGCTCATGCCGGCGATGCTGGTGTCGGCACTGGTGCAGGTGATGGCGTTGGTGCCGGCGGAGGCGCACGCGTGGATGCTGGCGTAGGCACTGGCGCTGGTGCCGGCGTAGGCGCGGGAGCTGGTGCAGGCGTCGATGCTGGCGCTGGTGCTGGTGTAGGCCCAGGCGTTCATGCCGGCGTAGGCGTCGGTGTTGGCGCTGGCGTCGGTGCTGGCGTCGACGGTGGCGTAGGCACTGGCATTGGTGCAGGCGTAGGCGCAGGCGTTGGCGCTGGCGTCGATGCTGGCGCTGCACTGGTGGCGCTGGCGCTCATGCCGGCGATGCTGGTGTCGGCACTGGTGTAGGTGATGGCGTTGGTGCCGGCGGAGGCGCACGCGTGGATGCCGGCGTGGGCACTGGCGCTGGTGCCGGCGTAGGCGCGGGCGCTGGTGCCGGCGTCGATGCTGGCGCTGGTGCTGCAGTAGGCGCTGGCGTTCATGCCGGCGTAGGCGCTGGCGTTGGTGCTGTAGTCGATCGGTGCTGGCGTCGACGGTGGCGTAGGCTCTGGCGTTGGTGCCGGCGTAATTAGGCGCGGGCGTTGGCGCTGGCGTCGATGCTGGCGTTGGTGCTGGTGTAGGCGCTGGCGCTCATGCCGGCGATGCTGCTGTCGGCACTGGTGTATGTCATGGCGTTGATGCCGGCGGAGGCGCACGCGTGGATGCCGGCGTAGGCACTGGCGCTGGTGCCAGCGTAGGCGCGGGCGCTGGTGCAGGCGTCGATGCTGGCGCTGGTGATGGTGTAGGCGCTGGCGTTCATGCCGGCGTAGGCGCCAGCGTTGGTGCTGCCGTCGGTGCTGGCGCCGACGGTGGCGTAGGCTCTGGCGTTGGTGCAGGCGTAGGCGCGGGCGTTGGCGCTGGCGACGATGCTGGCGGTGGTGCTGGTGTAGGCGCTGGCGTTCAAATCCTCCTGCTGCTGAGGCGGCGTTGGCTGTCTGACTGTGCAGCTGCAATGATGCTGGTACCCGTCACAGTGTGCATGTACTCGTCCTCTACTGGATGTCGGGGTACTGCGACGGGATGGGTGCGTCAGTCTGGCCAGAAGCAAGGATACCGCCACACAGTGCTGGTCACTCGTAACGGTCTGAACGACATGCAAAGCCAGCGAGCCAAGACTCCGAAACAAGGATGCCGCCACAGTGGGATCCAGGTGGTGGCCGTCGGATCCCTATCCTGGAGTTGCTGGCCGTCGTGGACGGCCGATTCAGGAGGATGGGCTGGCAACCCCCAAAAACGTCGGGTAGGGCGTCGGGTAGGGCGACGGGTGGGGCGTCGGGAAGGGCGTCGGGTAGGGCACCGGGCAGGGCGCCGGGTAGATGCTAGCCGTCATGCTCGTGACGCTCAGTGTCGTCGTGCCGGCGCTGGTGCCAGAGCCACTCGTCGATCTCGCGTTCGCACTCGTTGACCTCGTGGTGGTTGTGATAGTCCTGGAACTGCTGATCGTCGTGCTCATGCCGCTGGTACCGGAGCCACTCGTCGAGCTCGTGGAGGTCGTCGCATCCTGGGCTGCGCTGGTGGCTGCACTGGCGGGTGCAGGGCTGGCCTGCAGTGGGGCCCATCTGCTCGGTCCCGTTGGTCGGAGTCCCAGTGTTCCGTCGTCGTACCCCGACTGGGTGCCAGAATCGCGTTGT